TTTGACAGATGGAAAGTTATCGATGAACCCTGCTATCCGAGCATGATTATTTCTGACAGACAAGAAGTTAAATTTTGACAACCGTGGGTCGAAAACCGGTCGATCGACAGCACGGGGATTTTCGAACATAGAAAATAACTTTCGAAATGTCACTTTTAACCACGAGTTAAATCTTACTTGGCAAATGGTTCACAGCCTTATAGTACGTTCAGACTACAGAGTTATAACATGTTATAGCGCTATCTTGATGGTGGTTTCTGTGTTGCAATTATTTGACAACCGCTATAACATGTTATAACTCTCCAGTCTGAACAAGGCATTAGCTAAGTTGTCAAGCTGAATATTGGTTGAGGGATACACCGATTGTTTATTATCATCACAATCCTTTAGCAAGTATCCGAATTGTTCATACATGAGCCCCTTGAAAAAGAAATAGCACTGTCAAAAATGACGTTTGACTTCGATTACATAGGTGGGCTCACAGGACTGCAACGCCTGTCATCTGCGAACAACTCGAATGAAGCCAAATTTCTCTGCAGAGTGGTGCTCTGGTGCTAATTTGACAGCTCCTCCTTTTACTCTATATTAAGCTTGGTACATGTCGCGCGGCGTTGCGGAAAATAGATAGAGTTTTCTAGATAACCTTATAGGAAAGCATGATTCACGCAAATTGTGCTCGTCAATTCGAAAACAACTAAATCATTTTTCAATTGTCCATTGCGGTAAGAATGGTTTTGAAGGCATTACATTTGCTGCCACCTTGCCGCATTTACTGTTACATGGTTGGAGCTTAAATATGTTATTGATCACCAGCGCTGCTGATGATTTCGGCAGTTTCAAGAACTGGATCGTATAGCAGGGGGTTGGGTGGGCTACAGCCCAACTATAACGTAGCCCACGTAAACATAGCCCAACGAGCAAAATTTGACTGTACTTAATTATCTTAGAGATAAATCGTCCAGCTCAAGCCTAGGGGAAATCATCATTATCCTGAGTTCAAATCTAAACGGGATAAGTCACGAATGATCAAAGAGTGTTAAAGTGACTATAATATAAAAAAGGTCTGAACTCCAGGCATTTTAGAAAACCTAATAATTCAAACTAATGATATTATGATAGAATGGGCAATTTCTATCATTAAGTCCAATCATCGTGTACCTTGTTGAGTCTGCAGAACTTTAAGAAAAGATATCCGGGATGATTTGGTTAATCCAACATTGTTTTTTTTTTAACAAAATTGATAATTTTAAATGATGTTATGAACTCAAAGTGCTCAAATGTGCTCAAAATGCTTAACCTGTAAAATATCTCCAAGACAATTTGTAGACTGATAAATATTTTGGTAACACATCTTTGTACACCATAAATGCATCCCTAAAGGGCTTAGGAAAAGTAGAAGATAATTCTGAGATAGCACATTAATGATCAAGGAAGGTCCCACCATCGTTGTGAATGGCATCATTGCAATAGTTTTAATTTTCAAAACAAATTTAATTACGCAACAATTCAATTTCAGCTGGTATTTCACTCGTTGTCAGCATAAAGCAAAGAAAGAAATGTTTCATTTTTGACAACAATCATAACAAAACCAATAATTGACAGTTATTTATTTCTACCTATGTGTGTGAATGCACTCGTGAATTAACACACACCATCATACACAGGTTCCACTTTTGCTCAGAGGAGGCGTTGCCGTTACTGTCTCCTCATTTTTGGCAGAGTTTCCGGTCTTCTTGATTAGTAGTCTTCGATTCTGGTCTACCTTTGAGGGCATTGTAAAACCCTATAACACAGGACTTTCATTATCCAATGAACACAAAACCACAAAATTTTGCACACCCGCTACTTCCCGCGTCATCCTCAGATGGTCCTGTAACAATGATTAGACGAATGGTTGGTGTAGCAACAGCAGTATTAGCAGCCGGATGTCTTCAAGCGGTTCGAATGATCGGATGGTATAGGTTTTGTTTGATTATTGACTTTCCGATTAAAACTCAAGCACCGCTTGTCATGACCGGACCGAGATTTCCAGTCTCGGCCACGGCTACACGAATTAGCGATGCAGCTCCCTCGACTGCGGATGCTTCCAATGCTGTTGCTGCTGCTGCTGTTCCTTCTGCTGGTCCGTCTTCTCTAAAATTCGAATGTTGTAGGAGACGGACCAGCAGCAACAAAAGCAGAAGCAGCATTGAAAGCAGCCGCAGCCATGGGAGCTGACCTCGGTCCGGTCACGATACCGCTGTCAGCTGTTCTTTGTCTGGGAGGAAATGTGGTAGCGGGTGTAACGGTTTTGATAACGGAGCTGGAGCACATCATGAACCCGGGAGGGATGAGAACTTTGGGTGGTAAAACTCGTGATAAACTATCTTGACATTTTTTTCCGGTAATGTTGGGATTGTGGCAAGGGGTATTCAACTCTGCACACCTTAATCTGTGCCGAGAGTTTTAGCTGTCCCATGCGCTATGCCGAACGTGCCGAAGTAGGCCCAAGTTTGCCAATCAAGTTGTCAATATCCCACGAGTTTGGCAACCTTGAAGCTATAATGACATTTGTGATTGTGTTTAACTTTTCATTTTCGGAGCGGGAGGTGAAAGAGCAAGCAAGGAAACTCGAGTGATCCACAAGACTCTGACTCGATTTGAATTATTGATTCCTTTCAGGTGTGCAGAAACGAAGTCGTAACCTGATCGATGGAGCAAGAAATGCCACCGTCATCCTTTGACATCCTCGAAAACTAAAGCAAACAACGAACTCGAATGGACGGAAAGATGAACGACGGTCATGTAATCAACGCGTCGAGTTCCTAGTGCGAATTTCAGAGCCATCCGTGCAAGAGGATAACTCATAATCTCTGGATGAGCCGAATTGGAATCTGGGAATCTGTATTGCACAGTGTAGTTGGCTCATCTGCCAACGTCCATAGGATCTTGCGAGGCTTTTGCTAAAGAACAAATTGCTTAGGGTCGTCAGCAAGGCTTTACAGTTGACCGATCGGAAGGGCACCGATGAACAAGTTGAACTAGTGAGGTGAATCTCCGTGCAAATCAAATAGAGAGTCACCGTATTAGTAACAGAGAGTCACACGACTCGTAGAATAGGCCTGGGAGAGTCACGTCACACGACGTGACTTTTGTCATCTCACAAGTAACAGAGCCACATGATTCACAGAACAGGCCTGAACGACAAACAATAATATCTGAGGAAACACTCAAGGGAAAACGAGAAAAATTCCATACCGGAAGGTCCTCGGCAAAACCTATATTCGAACCTGGCCGAAAATCCCTGTGATAATCGTTTCGTCTTTATTGATTATCCGGTGTTGGGTCATTAAGGCAAAATACGTTAGGCTGGAGGACGTATCCTGCCCTATCCTTCGTTCCAAATGTAAATTTGACCATCGCATGATGCAGGATATTTTTCCGGCCGTTCCCATTTCGGTTATGGCTTTGTTGTACGTTTTGCACACCTGTGTCAGGAACATCTCCACTTGTAAGAAATTAACTACAATGAAAAGCATTCAAAGGCTGTTTGGAAGGAAGAATTGAATCTACGTACAGTCACTCTTTCCGGAAGTCTGCTCGACTACCGTTGAAAACAGACTTCTTCAACATTTCTTCTACAGCCGGCACAATTTAGTCGCAGTTCAGAAGAGATTCGTCCCTACAGAGATACGTACTGCAAATTTGCATAAACTGACGGTTTGGCCCTGATTTCTTCCTGTTGGGTGGTCGAAATGATGTACCTAGTTCTTCGGACAGGCATCAGGATGTGAGCTGACAATTCGATTTAGGAGAATCCATGGTGAGACTTGGTGGAGATTCACGGTTGTGTTTTGAAATATTGTGGCCACATCCATAACAAATAAGTTGCCAGTAACTTTAAAGATCAGAAAAATTGTAACCATGGGTACCAAACAGTGCCAATGACTGTGCCCAGGGATGCCTAAGCTTGTTTTTGGCACACTGTGCGGCGTGACCAACCCCTCGCATGAACGTAATTCATCGGTTCCAAGAGGAGAATGATTTTGGCTCTTGCTTTCCGGTCCTTCGCAGCATCCACAGCTTCAGGCGTTCCGTCTTCTTTCCCCAGAGATCTTCCAGCTCGAGGTACGTTTGAACAGCAAACTTCCAAGTAGCACAGTTCTCCCGTCCGGATAACCGCTCGATGCCCGGCAAACTTGCAATTCCTTGCTCGAAACTACCGCTTGATCCTCCTTGACTTCCGCTAGCCATTTTCAGTCTTCAGAGATTTGGCTTGAAACGATGAATAGTGCCTTACCTTACCAATCAGGCTAAGGCCTTGTTGTCCTCTGCTGTCCGAAGAAGTCGTCTCCACTCTACTCGATCCATGGCCACACTTCACCAGCCTCGGAGACTGTGAAGGGTCCGCAGGTCGATCCACCTTGTCCGCCTCTTCTTTTGGTTCCTGTTGGGTCGCTTTCTAGAACCATTTTCACTGGGTCGTCGTGTGGCATTCTTACGACGTGCCCATCCCACCGTAGTCGCCCAATTTTTGCAATGTGGACGATGGATTGTTCTCCTAGCAGCTGGTGCAATTCGTGGTTCATTCGCCTCCTCCACGTTCCGTCATCCATCTGCACTCCACCGTAGATGGTACGCAGCACCTTCCGTTCGAAAACATCAAGGGCGCGTTGGTCCTCCACGAGCATAGTCCAGGTCTCGTGGCCGTAGAGGACCACCGGTCTAATCAGCGTCTTGTAGACAGTACGGCGGCGTATTTTATTCGACCGGAGCGTCCTCCGGAGTCCAAAGTAGGCACTATTCCCTGCCACAATGCGTCTTTGAATTTATCTGCTGGTATCATTTTCGGCGGTCACCCAAATACACGAACTCATCGACCACCTCGATTTCGTCACTGAAACCTATTGTAGCTTGAAAAAAAGTAACGACTTGCTGTAACAGAACGAAGAAAATTTATTTCGCTGATAGTCATGGCTTACTTTAACATTGACAATTTCAAATTCCAACCTCCATTTCAGACGACGAGGAAGTGGCCCGGAAAATCTCCGACAAGTTCCACTCGCACCAGATGGGCGAGCGCATCTCGTTCGCCAACGTGGCCAAGAAAGCCCAGCAGAAGGGCCGGAACAAGCTGGCCATCACCCTGCTGGAGCAGGAACCGCGCAAGAGTCTCCGGGTGCCGCTGCTGCTGGAGCTGGAAGCCAGCGAGAAGGCACTGATAGCCGCTACCCAGTCGGGCGATACCGATCTGATCTATATGGTGATCCTGAAGATGAAGAGCACGACGGCGCTGTCCAAGTTCCAGATGATCATCCGGCGGTTTCCACTGGCGCAGGATCTGTACAAGAAGTACTGCCAGGCGAACAGTTCCACGCTGAAAGATATCTACTCGCAGGAGGACGACTTCCAGTCGCAGGCTGAATTAGGCCTGCGGGAAGCGCTGGAGAATAACAACGTGCAGGTGTCGATACCGGACATCAGCGGAAACTACAAGAAAGCCAACCGGACGCTGGAGGTGGATGCGTGCGATGAGACGAAGAAGCTGATGCAGCATCAGAAGGTTTGGTCTGTCTGAGTAGTTTTATGAAAATGAATTAATTTGGTTTGATTTTCCGTAGGCTCTAGATGAGAAGTACCAAAAGCGACTGTACGGGCTGCCGTTGCACGAAACCATTCGGCAGTTGTTGCTGTTGGGTGATCTCAAGTACGCCGATCGGTTGAGGAGTGAGTTCAAAGTTCCGGAACGGCGCTACTGGTGGCTGCGGGTGTCGGTTATGGCCCAGCAGTTCCAGTGGGAAGATTTGGAGAAGTTTGCCAAGGCGAAGAAGAGCCCCATCGGGTATGAACCGTTCGTGGAGGTTTGCCTGGGGCAGAGCAATGTCGAGCAGGCGAAGAAGTACCTACCGAGGTGCAGCGAGGAGAACAAGTTCAAGTGGAATCTGAAGGCGGGATGTCTGCTGGAAGCGGCGAAGATCGCCTACGATCAGAAGGACATCGAAGCTCTGTGGAGGGTTTATGACCGCTGCTCGAATGATCCGACCCTGTCGGCGCGGGTCGATGATCTCATCGGGCAGCTGTCGTCGAAGAAGTGAATTCCGAGAATGGTTAGGTGATGAAATTGATATTTGCAAGGTAAGTTGTCGTATTTAATACATGTAAGCGGAAAATGAGCAGTTAATGAGGGTTTCGTTTGTTTTCGGTCTGGAAGGAAAGAAATCCCTCGGTCAATCAATCAATCAATCAAAACGCCACCTTCTTTTTTGGAAAATATTTCCTCATTTTATTTAGTATTTTGCTTTGCCGTTTAAATATCTATATTCATGTACAAGGGTTTCCATCGTATTTGCTTTCCTCTCATTCGATTCATGTTTTGCAAAATTTAAATTTTACATTTACACTATGTGAAATTGTTTTCTTCATTTCCATTTCTTCGCTTTTCACCTCCTGTCGTCAGCGTTGATGTTTGCTTTGTGAGTGTTTGAGTTTTTACTGTTCTTTGTTTCACTTCTCTCTTTCGTTTGTTATAATAATAGCTCATCAATTGGGTAATAATGGAATAATAAGTAAATATATCGTCGTTGAAAAATCCATTTACACTTAGAGAATAATGAAACTCGATCGGTTCATTCTATGTTCATTGAATCCAAATGGGGTCACTCCGTTGAACCGCATTTAGGTCCGTTTTCCAAACGTTCCTCTGGATTACTCCACGCCAAAGTGAGTTTGTTGTCTGTGTTTTTAAAGAGTTACGACTAAAAACCTACAACTATTGCAACAAGTAAGTGTGTGTGTGTGTGTGTCTGTGTCTGTTTCTGTTTGTTTATTTGTGGGTTAGTTTACTACAATAAACAAATGCCTAGGAAACTAAATAATAGGATCGTTTGTTTGGGTGTGTCAGTGTGTGTAGGTTTGAATAATGACTGCTTTGCAATTTTCCTATGAGTTTCATCTGTTGCTGAGAATTAAATAACAGAGTTTAGCTGTGATTTAAAAGTTCTACATTTAGTTTGAATGGGTGAAATCTGTTTCGGTGTGTGTGTGTGTGTAAAAAAAAACCCAGTTGGCGCCCCGGTTGCACGAAAAGACTTATGCGTCCGTCCAGTCGCCTTATTTTTTAACTATTGCATTTTTGTTCTACAAACGAAAAAGTGTGTGATGATTTTTTTCCTTTGTCTATTAAACGGCTACTATGTACATCAAATTGTTCCATTTCCCAAATTGCTCCACTTTTCTTCATTTTGCCTTTTATTTAAATAATTTTAGTTCACCACTTTTTTACGAATATAATTAGAACAAAGGAACCTAAACACAAATAGTAATAATAATAGTTTTGATGATGACCAGAATTGCAATAATATCCAAATAGACAAGAGTTATAGGAGTTGGAACAAATTTAGATTCTTTGTTTTCGCTTAATATTTGTTTTTTTTTTCATCTGTTGTTTGTTTACAAAGCATTCCTTCAAGGATGCGCGATATTAAAAGATGTTTCTTTTGTTCTGCGGATCATTCTCTGCTAGCAGGCGTCGTCTTACGTTCGTCTATAAAACATCCATCGAAAAGGGTCTGGGTTTTTAGAGCCTCAAAGGTACCTGAAAGAAAGGGGAGATTAATGTTGCTTCTATTGATTTCATTACAGATGGTGGCAGTTAAAGTCATCGTTTGTACGAATTCTTGAAAATGAAATAAATATGACAGTTCTGAACTGCGAGTCCGTACATGAAGGAAGGAGTGTGGTTTGCGCCTGGCTGCTCTTAGTTTCTAGATAATGATGACCAGTAAGTATGCTTGCTCAATTATATATTTCTTATAGGTACAGTAAGAGTAAGAAAGCATGGAGTTTTGGAATATGGCAGCTCAAGTATTTTTATGGAACGGCGAGTGTATAGTCATGGTCATCAGCAATGTTGTGCCTAATAAATTAACTGGTTTAGAGTATCCTAAACAAGCCATGGACGTTCTGATTAAGACGAATCAAAAGTCAAATATAGCTGCAAGATATCCGGAGAGACATTTGATGAATATGACGTTCGGAAGTGACACAGGCAGAGAAGTTCCATGCCCTGCTTATTTTGAACCCCGAGAGGTATAAGATGGGAATGTTACTGGTGTTAACCGATGATGAACTATGCTAGAAGTCAACTACAGACAACAAGTCATTGTATTTGCATGCCTCTTGTCCGAAAAAATATGGCCGCTTCAATGAAGGCAACTGCACAATGTTTCGACTACATTGAATTGGGTCATTTTTACAAGTGCCCAGTAATGAACAAATTCATCGCCAAGGAGAAGGCTGAATCTAAAAATAAATTCAAAAGCAACCACGCAATGTTGTCCAAAGATAAAGTCGGAACGAAGAAACGAAACAAACTAGTCACTAGTTCCGTAGACTTTGATGCAACCGATCACAAGGTGAATAATGAATCACAGAACGTCAAAAGGATCGGATAGACTGATAGTAGTTTCAACCATCAAGTCTGGTGAGAAGCTTCGAGCTACGAAATTGAAATCTTCAATCGGTAAAAATTCAATGATGAATCGTTAGTTTGGAAAATGTTCTATTTGTTCCTGGTTTTGAAGAAAATCTGCTTCCGGTTCGATGGACAAACAAAAGGGGAAAATTAGTTGCTTTCACCAATGAGGTTAGTGCATTCAAAGATTAATATATTGTTTCAGTAATCTTCATAGCCGGTTTTTTCTCCATCATAATAAGTTTGTAAGTTGTTGTTGTTTTCGCCTTCGACAGTGTTCTTAATACTATTTTCATATAACAGTTCTTGGTCATACCTAAATCAAAACAGGGGTGCTCCCTTTCGAAGCCTCCAAAAGAATAATTAGTGAGAGGATGTAGTCAGTGGCGTCGCGTTCACATGTGCAACCTGTGCACGACACAGGTGCGTTTAGATGTTTATAGATTTCATGGTCACATTAAAGCTGTACTTCTTTACTCCAGACCACAAGTGATCATGAATACACTATTTTATAGTGTGGCTCAATTAAATCTTCGACCTTGGTTTGATTCACAAAGGACTAAATTCAGTTCGGATGGTCTGCCTAATCCCTAATCCATTGATTTCTAAGCATGTGAAACATACCACACATTTTCCACAATACATGGTGGTTTGCACCACTAGTTGTAATTGAAACTTTCAGCAGTCACGCGTCAAACGGGAGCAACACGGAAAATAGCAGTCTGATACGCTTTGGACGTGTATCATACTTGCAGACCGGTTGGAATGTGTGAGTTTAAATTAGAAGAACATTTGTGATGCACGGGTGCCTAAAGCGTGCATTTCTCGCTGTGCACTTGGATATCTGATTGCAGGCAAAGAGAGTAATGGAGAAAGAGAGTGCAAAAGCTCACTCTCACTCTTTTGTCAGTTGTAAATCTCTCAATTACCGATGGTTGCGCCTGTCTAAACTTATGATCTTCCCCTGGTTCATTCTGATAGTGTTGTTCTGATGAATAAAGAGTAGAATAATTCAAGTTTGCTACCCAGGGGATTTCATGAATTTTATCTAGATTTTGAAACTGTTTTGTATCAAAAAATGTTTTCGGAAGTGTTTGACGAATATTCTTTATTACACTTCAGTCGAAACCCTAATTAAAATGTTATGGTTAATTTGCTTAACGACGTGTTCTGGGTATCATCCAAACCATTTGTGGAATAGTTCAATCATTTGGGTTATCGTTCGTTTATGGTAATTTTTTATTAGGGAAGAGTTAGCCTTGTGATAAAAATGATAATTAGTTAAGTTTTGCAATTCCTCCTAGTTTGGTTAGCGCGAAAAGGACCATACAAATTTGTTTACATAAAACGATAGGCCCTTCAAATGTTACGTTAGGTAGTGATTAACATAGTAATTGAGAATATGTCCCTTAAATTCATGGAGCATTGAAAAAAAAAAACAAAAACTAATATGTGGTGGTAAACTAGGTATAACGAACAAAGTGTGGTGTACAGGTAATCAAATGAGGCATCTCAAATCAAATCTCAGGGCATTCAATTTTTAAACTGGAATGTCAGGAAATCTCGGAATTTTCATTAAATTCAGGGAAATATTTCTCAATCCTTATTAATCCATTATAAACTATAATTATACCACCAATCATGTAGGAAAGTGAAACAATGTTTTTTTTAACAAAGGCTTGAGCAATTTAAATCCAAGGAAAAATTCTTTGGACTAGAAACATTTTTTAGAGATCCAGACCATTTCTTCAAGATTCTGGGACGAATTTCAGTATCAAGGTTCCGTACTTTTTTTTTGCTTTGCAACTATCTTCACAGACGGCTAGGTCCAGTTTGGTCCATCTCATCAGATTTCATACTTAGGAAAATTTTAAAGATAAATCCTCAAGTTTAAGGTGAAAGTGGATCGGTTCAAAATGACTCACTTCATAGATTTTCTTACAAAATAACGCAACGCCCTTTTCGAAAAAAATATCTCCCGTGCAAAATTTAGAAAACTAAATTTGCTATCCCTAGTAATTTTTACAAGATTGATTTATTGTTTAAATTTTCTGAAAACCATTTTCTAAGTTCCACTTTAGGACCACAATCATAGTGGTCGCTAACTTTGCTCATCAATTACACAAGTATTTAGTATGAAAGGTCATATTTGACTTCCGTAGATCGTTTCCAAGTATTCTGATATGCTTTGGTATTTTTTTAAGATAATTAGATTAGTTTTTGGATCCACCATTATTTTAATAACCCGTCATTTTTAATCCATTTATCATGCTATTTTCTCGAAAACCCACAATCTTTAATCCAATATTTTGAAAATCATTCAATTTCAATAGTGGAGTTATTATAAGCATACCCGAAAAAAAAAATTACAGTGAAATTTTCAGTGGAAACAATGCTCTAACATTAATATTTATTGTCGACAATAAAAATGATTGTTATAATGTTGTACTCTTCCGAAAACGGCAAAACTGCTACCTAGCTGTACAATGAATGTACATAATAAAATGTTGTTACAATGATTTTTATCGTATTTTTCATTTATTTTATTGTTAACATGATTCGATCATGAACAATAATGAACAACTCTATTACAATAAAAATTGTTGTTACATTAAATATTGGTGTATTTTCATTGTGGGTTACTTCACGAACAATAAAAATAAATCTGATTGAAGCATGCAGACTATGAGAGGGTCAGCAACACTGCCAATGTAATTAAGATAGGCGCTGCTCGTATGTCTCTAGCTTTGACAGTTCGTTTGGCTCAAAACCAGGCAGTCCGCGTCCGCTCATATCTTATCCTAGACCCTCTCTAAAGCTTAATGGAGACCTTTTCCGTGCAATCAATAATCATACAATAATAATAAAAAAATCCACCACTTGAAGATGTCAGGAAGGAACTCTCAGGTGGAAGCATATTTCATGGGCGATTCTCTCCAGTCGAATGCATTAACTTATCAACGACGCTCAACCACCAAGGAGACGTGACCTAGGGATATCGAGCGCAGGGGAGTTGGCCTGCATTTCTCACAAGTTCCGGATCGAATCTCGATCCATAACCAGTAAAAAAAGGACCACCCGTAACAGACATACCACCCCCTTCCCTTCTCGGGCAAAGTTTTATTTTTTCGATTTATTTTTAAAGTCGATAAAGTAGATCTGTCAAGCCAACACATACACTCTAAAGTACACTGTTATTTTTTTTAATCAATAAATTCGCCAACCAACAGTAAAATAACAATAATATATAATGTTATTGAAAAAAAAAATATATGGGAAAATCACGAAAATTTCATTGTTAAGATACTTAACAACACCCCTTTTTTATTGTAAATTTTCCATTTACCATGAAATTTATTGTTTTGTACAACATAAATCAAAGTAATTTTATTGTAGACGTAACAATATAAATCATTGTTAAGACAATAATTTTCGTCTTATTGTTACATTGTTTTTTAATGTATTTTTGCTGTTATTTTTTTTCGGGTACTGTGTTATATTTAAAAAGATCGAACATTTTAACAATGACTTACAATTTCAAATCCACCATTTTGAAAATCATACGCCATCTTGGATCCACCATTGTGAAAATAAACCAACATCCAAGAATTGAAATGGCAGGCTTTCCCTGAACATTGGCAGGACTTCCCTGAAAATCTGACTTCTTTTTGAAAATTATTCGCCATCTTGGATCCACCATTGTGAAAATGAAGTTCGGCAGGACTTCCCAGATTTCTAAGAATTAAAATGGCAGGACTTCCTTGAACTTTTACAGGCCCTGAACTTCGGCAGGAGTTTCCTGAACTTCAGCAGGAGTTCACTGAACTTCAGCAGGACTTTCCTGAACTTCGGCAGGACTTCCTTGAACTTTGGCAGGACTTCCCTGAACTTTGGCAGGACTTCGCTGAAATTCGGCAGGACTTCCCTGAACTACGGCAGGACTAATCTGAACTGCGACAGGACTTTCCTGAAGTTCAGCAGGCCTTCCCTGAACATTGACAAGACTTCCATGAAAATCTGACTTCTTTTTGAAAATCATTCGCCATCTTGGATCCACCATTGTAAAAATAAACCTGAACTTCGGAAAAACTTCTCTGAACTTCAGCAAGACTTCCTTGAAC